TGTACCAACACCTGTACCCCTTTTTCCAACCCAGAGACTCCAGAAAATTCCACCCCTGACCCGCCTAACTGGGAAAAACATTGCCATCCTCGGGTGGGGTGGGCTACCAAGTTTCCCAGGTGGTAACAAAGTCACCCCCACTGCCCCTCACCGCTAGTGACAGAGGCTTTCCTGGGTTCAAATCAAACCCTGCTCAACTTCCCGCCATTCACGGAATCCTGTCGCCCGGCTTAGGCACAGAACACACCCAGGATTTCTGCTCCCGGTGTGGCCTCCAAGGCAGCAAAGGGCTCACATCCTATGTGCCAAAAGCAAAACAACACTAAAAGGCCACTTGTGAGCAGATGGAGCAGCACTCACAACTCCTAAGTTGTGAAACTCTTCCCCCAAAACTCGAAGCGAAGACCCTTCTCCATGACCAGAGCGGCCGTGAACACCCCTGCAGGGGAGAACAGCAGCCGCCGGGCAGGCCAAGTCCCCAGAGCCGAGGCAGGCTCCGGGCTGTGCAGGCCCGCGGCGGCTCTGCCTGCACCCGCCTCTCCTGGGACCCACGACACGCAGGGGGCCCGCGGCTAGCGGTTCCGGGGACAGCGGCCTCGGATTACCCGCGGGATGCTGGATGGGCCACGGAGCCTGCAGGCCTTTTGGACTCTGGAGGCACAGAACTAGTAGGAAAACCCCAACTATGTCGTTGAAATGAGCCAGATAAGACAGTAGCAGCAAGCAAGTCCCATTATTTCGTTGGAAAACCCAACTCTTTCCTTTTAGATTTCCAGGTTATCATCACTACTGTTTAAGCCAACTGTTCAGACAAGACACCTCATTTGCCAATCCTAGGAAGTCACTTCCAGGGCGATGCTTATGGAAGAAATTCCTCCTGGGCAAGAGACCCTGCAGGCTGCCCCTACAAAAACCATAGGGTGTCTGGGCCTCCTTCCCAAGATCAGGTGGCGTTAGTCACCAAAAGGAAAAGGTCCTCTGAATTATTTAATGGAGCCTGTTGACAAGGGGAAGCAACTTAGTTAAAGAGCTCATCCTAAAAATTGAGGTAGATAGTATATACATTAAATATATGGATTTAGGCATTCAGTATATCACAGTCAAGATATGGGTCAATCTATCATCTTCCAAATGCCCTCAAGCTCCTTCCCAGTCGGAGAGGGATGACTTTTTAAAGGAACGATATTCTCAAACTGTTAAGGATCACTTCCTTCAAAGAAAAGGAATTATTTTAAGCAGTGCGTGGAACTGTATTCGAACCTCACTACCTGGTAGTGCTTACTCTCCAAACACTTTAGTCTTCTACTCAGAATACTGGCTTGTCACCTTTAATCTCAAATTTCTAGCACTCTAAATCCAGGAATGAATAAAAGAGCCAAACAATTAATTTCCAAATTTTCTTTTTAAATAAAAAGCTAAAGAAAGGATGTAGAATCTCGCTCGAAACTGAGCAAATTTTATGTTCTTCAAGGATTATTAGTAACTTCAACCTGACACTGCACATGCTAAAAAGTGAATTTGAAGGGCTTCCGAGTACCTCCCAGGCTGAAGGGAGAGCTTCAGCTCTCAATTCACACTCCTCAATGCAGTTTGAAGGGTTTTCTAATTTTAAAAGTGAATAAATCTTTTACAAGTCTGCCAACACTGAGCATCTACTGTTTCAGCCCAAATAAAATATAGGTGGATCTTTAACTGGAAATATAAACTGACATTTAAACTAAAAGCACCTCCCAGGAGGGAAACTCTCCTGGATTCAGCCTCCTCCTCTTCGCCATGCATTTGATCCCAATCTGCAAGTGAATTGGCTCCATTTTTCTGTTCCTGGGATTTGGATCGGTATTTACCTCAATCATTCCTTTTTCTAAAAGTGGTAAGAATATGCTCCTATAGTGTGTTAAAACTAGGAGTCCATCGAAAGTTTAAAAACCAAGAAAAAGGGTAACTACTCCCTAACTTCATACGTAGAAGGAACTTTTAAAAGGAGATGCCCAGAAATAGATTAGAATTTCAACTTTTTTCCAACAGGATAAGCTAGCTAAAGGCCATCAGGCAACAGCACCGCCCTCCTCCCCAAATAAAAGGTTAGGAGAGGAAAAAGCAGCGGCACTGGGCTCACCTTAGCGGTGCTCAGTACCCACTCGCCAGCTCACACAGGCTACGACCCCCACTATGGTTTTTAAAGCCTCTGCCGTCTCCAGCTTACGCTCCAAGTCTGCAGCGGTCACACACACACCCTCTCTCACCGGTCTACAGGTAGATCGCGTAAGCTACCGACCCCCTTGGCAGAGACCGCTTCTCAAAACTTTTGGCCTGCCTTATTGGGTTCGGGGGAGTAGAAGATACTCGCGTTAACACCAATGTGGAAAGGAGGAAAGAGTCACACTGGGTAAAAAAAAAGGCAAGAAACGTTTACTCGACAGCCGAAAGAGCGAAATCGAACCCGAGGATTGCGATGCAGCCCAAAGACCCTTCGCACTCCGGCGTTCTAGCAGCGCATGGCTGGCTGGGTCTTTTTCAAGCAAGTTGGGAGTCCCTGGTTGAGCCGGATGGGGATACCTCCTAACCAGGGAAACCGGTTCCTGTACGGCGCGGAGTCGGGAAAGGCGGGCGCGGCCCTAGAGACTCAGGCGGGTGAAGGTATGGTCGGCCCCTTACTCCGCTTCTATCTCGGGGTGCAGCCGTGGGCCCACGAGGCCGAACGGCGATTTCACGCTAGGAGAGTTCAGGGGCCAGAACACGCTTTTTAAACAATATAGGAAGCAGCCGCGCAGAGGAGGACTGAAGACTGGGAGCCTTGGCCCTCGAAGATCCACTGACGCTCCCACTCTTAACCAACATAAAGAGGCAAGGACTGCCATGCTGTCCCAACAACAAAAAAACATTCTTCCCCTCACTAATGCGCACGTGGAAACCAGGTCCACAGAGGCACACACGCTCCACGCTCTCACCCACACAAACATCTGTTCCGGGCTCACGCCCTACTTAAAGGCAACAATCTATGAGTTTTCCAAACAAAAATCTGAAAATAAAGAAGTGCCTTCTCAGCACGTTGGGAGGCCTCTGGCGTGCCCGCACAAGGAGGCCACGTCTACACAAACACACACGCCGATCTCTTCCCAGCTCATGCCTAACTGGAGACGATTGCCGCGTTTTGCCTCACAGAAATGACAATCGGAAAAGGGAGGACCCCACGCCATGGGACTTTTCGGAGCCCCTCGCGACACGCATTCCACATACTTCCTAGGTCATGATCTACACTGGTAGCAAGGACTGCCACGTAGCCAAAGGAAATAGAAAGCAAATCCGGAGAGGGCCTCCTCTCCTCGCCGTGGAACCGGCCGGGGACCGACCCCTGTTCAACACACCCGCGGTTATCCCGTGAACACAAACACACGCCCCCCACGCACTCACCTCGTCGTCGTGATGCTGGCAGAAGCCGAGGCGCTCGGGAAACACCGAGAGGATCGAGAAGGGCGGGCCGGGAAACGGCGGCCCGAGCCCGAGCTGCTGCGCCGCAGCCGCGGCGCCGGCACCCGGCGGGCCGCGCTCGATGTAGTGGTCCTTGGTGAGGCGCACGCGCTGGTGCGCTCGGACGCAGTTGTCGCACAGGTGCTCCTGGCAGTCGAGGCAGCGCGAGGAAGCCGCGTTGCCCTCATCGCACGAGCTGCAGCCTTGAGGCCGGCGCAGCAGCAGCGCCGACGGGGAAGCGGCCGGGCCGCCGGGAGCCGAGCGGGAAGGCGCAGGCGGCTGTGGCGCCTGCGGGAGTGGCGGCGCGGAGGACGACGCGCGCGGGTGCGCGTGGTGCGCGTGGTGCCGGTGGTTGCTGTGGCCGCCGGCGCCCGCTGAAGCGCCGGCGCGTCCGTTCTTGGGCGGCGGCTCGTCGGCGGTGGCCACCACCGCGTCCAGCAGGTTGCTGAGCAGGAAGGCGGACGAAGGCAGCGCGTCCATGCCCGCCGCCTCGGCTAGCACTACTTTCTGGTCGCACACGGGGCAGCGCAGCTTGAGAGGCTCTCCCGGCGCGCCGCCGCCCGCCGCCGGCAGCCGGTGCGCCTCGAGGCAGGGGCGGCAGAAGGCGTGCAGGCAGGGCAGGACGTGTAGGCGGCGCGCAGCCGCCCCAGGGGCCCCGCCGCCGCCCCCCGACGACGTGGACGTCTGCGAAGAGGACGACGACGCGGATGAGCTGGAGGAGAGCGGCGCCGGCGAGCCGCACATCTCCTTGCACAGCAGGCAGACCTGGAAATCGGTCTCGGGGAACGAAGCCATTTGCAACCCAGCCCGGAGGAGGGAGGAGACCAGAGAGGAAGAGGAGGAGGAGGAGGAGAGAGCGGACGAGGCGGGTGGGGGAGCTACCGACTCACTCAGAAAAATGCATCGATCAGGCCTGCAGTCCGGGAGTCGGCACCAGAGCAGCGCTGCCCGCTTGGCCTCGCCACGTCCGGCCCGAGCGCTGCCACCCCCGACACTGCAGGCATTAAATGCCACTATCCAGCGGCGACACGGATTCCTCCGGAGAACTTGGGGGCCGCGTGCTTTCCGAAGACGGAACGCCAGAACAAGCCCCGACACGCGAGGGGCGAGCGGGGGCAGGGAGGTCAGAAGACTCCCTGGAGCAGCTGGGGCTTCGCTTCGCGATAGCCGAAAGTAGTTCCCAAAAGGAGAGTTCGCTGGGCAGTCCCAGTCCTGGCGAGAGCAGAATTTGGTTCCACGAGTATTTGGTGTGTTGCTTTTCTTTAAACGGATTTAGTCTGTTCTTGAGAGGGGAAGGCGCCCCAAACTAGTAAAGGCGGGAGCGGCGCGTCGCCAAGCCGGTGTCCCCCCGCGCGACGCCGGCCGCCCCGCCGCATGACGCGGCGGCCAGGGGCTCCTGGGTGGCCCGGCGTGCTGCGCTTGGGGCTTGCGCACGGTCAGGCGCGGCCTCCCCTGCAGGGCGGTGGGCCCCGCAGCAGCTGCAGCTCGTGGTGGCCCAGCCGCGGCCGCACGCGTGCAGTACGCACGCGCGTCCCACGCGCCTCGAGTCTCCCGCGCGCCTGCCCAGCCGGGCCGCGGCTGCCCGCGCTCAACACGCACGCGCGCCCCACGCGGACCGGAGCCCTCGTGCCCCCGCCTCGCTGGGCCTGGGCGCCTCCCGCACGCTTCTTCCCCTTCGGCTTAGCGCGCGGGGCCGCAGGTCCCCGCGGGCCGCCCTGAATTATTCATCGGCAGGAAGATATTAGATGTACCCGCTCCGCGCGGGCCGTCGTGCAATGCTATCCGAGCTCCGCGCGCGCCCTGCGCCCCTCCTCCTCCTCACGTCCGTCCTCTCTGAAACCTTGGCAGCGAAGGGGGATCACATTTCCTTTGTCATCGGGCCATTTCGCCCTCGCCTTGGTCCCCCCTCCGATCCTGAGCCTCGGGGATGGAGGCTCCTCTCGGGCGCGCTGGAATCAGTGGAACCAGCAACAACCCCGCGCGGCGAGCTCGGGAGCCGCGTGGCCAATGCCGCCGGCTCTCGCCCGCGTCATCTTCTTTCTGAAACGAGTCGCCGATCGGGACGCGGGTGGCCCTGGCCGCGCTGCGCCTACCGGGCTTTGCTCCCGCCGTGCCCTGGCCTCCTGGGGCTTTGCACAGCTCCCCCAATTCGGGTTGCGTGCGCGCGTGCGCGCCCCCTCTTTCTCTGCTTTGCCGCCTCTTCCTCCTCCTCCTCCTACTCTTCTCTTCAGTACGCCGGTTATTGGGACTGATCGGAATTCGGAATCCTTTTAATCTCCAAAGGAGCAAACTCACTTCCGCCCGAGTGCTGGGAGGGGGCTGGGGGAGGGGAGGCAGGGGAGGGGGCTCCAGGCAAACAGGAAACATTAGCCCTCTCAGCACGGCCCGCTTTTGTGTGCTCCCTCCCTCCTCCCTCCAACCTCCTCCCTTCTCCCGGCCGCTGGGGAGATGAACGCCCCCAGGCTTCAGTGTGACGACCTTTGAAACCTTCTGAGCGAGGAGCAGAGAACGACTCTTCTGTTTATTTAAAAAAGAAAAGAAAAGATTTCATTCTGAATCCCTGGCTCAACCAAGACTGATATCCACTGCCCACGAGATCCTCGGTTTTTACTCACCTTTTCTTTTTTTCTGTTTACGTTTTGTAAAGGACTCGGCATATCTGTGATCACCAAAACATCACCCGGTTGTGTGCAGTTGGATGCGTGGAATTAAGCGAATCTGAATTCTGATCGGCAGAGGGGCCAGAGTTCCCTTTTGAGTTTTAATGGGGCTGAGGGGAGGCAGGGGGCAGCTGTTCTCGGGAGGCGACCTGGTGATGGCCCCGCGGCCATCTGGGTGGTGCCCGAGGCCGCCTAAGCGGTTCTGGGAGCGGAACTTGCATGGCCCCAGAGAGAGACTCACTTGGAAGGGCAGGGAGGGCCACTTACCAGCATTTAGGTAGTATCTGGCCTGGAGGCCAACAGGGGTAAAAATTGTCCTCGTCCTAACACTATCTCGCTGTTAGTGATATCCTATTTAACCTGGTACCGGCAACAACCTGATGACTCCCAAAAACATCGTGTTGGGGGTTGGAAGAAAGAAGCCAAACACAAAAGGGTTCATACTGTGTGATTCCATTTCCAGGAAATTCTAGAACAGACAGAACTAAGCCATGGAGAGAGGAAAAGTACCCTTGGGGACGAGGAGGTATTGACTGGGAAAGGGCATGAAGGAATCTTCTGGAGTAGTGAAATAAAAATATAATGCCGTGTATGTACATTTGTCAAAACGTATAAATGTCATTTAAGATATGCAAGATTTCGCTGTTTAAATTATACTTCAATAAATTAAAAAAAAAAAAACAACTCGGTGTCCAACCTGCATAACTATGCCTGGATCATAGAGATGGAAAAATTTAAAAATACACTACGTGGACCTCCCCAGCTCCTCTGGTTTTGCTCATTGGAATCCATAGGAAGATCATCCAGGAAAGAGCCCTTAAATGAAGTCAGCTGGACACATGTGCTGAAGGCCCTAGGAAGCTGCAGAAGTACATACTGTGTGAAGCCATTTGGGGGGGGGGGCGGGGCAGGGTGCTGTCTCTGAAATGGGAGCATTTCCCAGGCTGAGGAAGAGCCTGGCAGCCCCACCAGGAATGTTTAAGCCCTCAGTTGCCTCCAGAGTTCTCTCCTCAGCATCTGGAGCAAACTGAAGATCAGTGAACATTTACTGAAATGTATGAGTAGTGGAAAAATTATTAATCAAATAAGACCAAAACAGAGCCCCTCCTTTGCCAAACGAAGAAGCAAACTTTGTGTAATTTAAAAACTAAAGACGAAGCTTCTCGTGCCACCATCTATTGCCTAAACTATGTATTCCTTCCATAACTCGAGAGCTGTGTGGAAACATGGAATGCTCACATGAATCAATGCACTTCTATAATTTTTTACCATCATTTTCTACCATACTAGCCTTGCCACAGAGATGTTTTATGTAATTTTGTTTTGTTTCGTTTCTTTTCCTTTCTTTGATTGTTTTTCCCTTCTCTTTTAAAAAACAAAAACAAGAGGAAAACAGATGGGAGAAGAGAATTGCCAGAAGGAAGATGGCCCCAGAGGGTCAGGAGAGGGGTGGCCCAGACCTGCTGTCTCCTTCTTGGTTTGGCCCCACCCACCACCAAAAAAAAGAAAGAAAGAAAGAAAGAAAAAGAAAAGAAAGATGACAAGGGAAAAACCTCAATCGTCCTCCGGTCCTAAGACTCAACATGTATTTTGAAAACGAATAGCAGAGGTGGTATGTCAGCTGAGCCATCACAGAGGAGCAGGAAGGCTGTAAGTCCAGAAAGAGGAATCAAACTTGACAGCGGTTTGTGGGTTTGTTTCCTGGGGACCATTGCTCAGAGAAAAAAAAAAGAAAGAGAGAAGTGGGGGTGAGGTTTGATTTCTCTTCAAGAAGTAGATTTCCTTATTTCCTTTCTTCAATTGACAGCACGTTGCCAGGAAGCAGGCTTGTAGTGTAAATCGTTAAATTAGCACATTCCTAATTTTGGTTAAGACAATGTTTTAAAACCAGTAGGAAAGAGGGAAATCTTATTTAAATCAACCACTTTAACCCCACTTGTATAAGAAATGCAGCTTATAGCTATAATGATTTTTTTTAATATGGTATAATGATAGATAAGTTAGTATTTGAATCTAATAAGGCTTTATACAGTTTATCCATGAGGAGCCAGAGCTATGCATCCAGATGAGGAGTCAAAGATGCTGTCTGCTGCTATAAACTACATTGTATTACATTTTTCATTGCCATCCTGGCTAATAAACACCCTTTGTTAGCAAAAGAGGAGCATGGAGCCTTCTATTTTTTCCTCTTCTCCTTTACATTTGAAAGGCAGTCTGTATGCCTTCAAGAATCCTGAAAGTAAATCATCTCTATTTTAATAAGTAACCACTTTTTAAAAGAAACTAAAAATACAAAAAGTTAGGAAGGTGTGGTGACAAGCGCCTGCAGTCCCAGCTACTCTGGAGGCTGAGGCAGGAGGATTGTTTGAACCCGGGAGATGGAGGTTGCAGTGAGCCGAGATAGCATCACTTCACTCCAGCCTGGGTGACAGAGCAAGACTTCGTCTCCAAAAAAAAAAAAAAAGAAAGAAAGAAACTAGCCCTAAAATAAGCAATAAATTTTCATTCTTTCTTGAATTTGTCTGTAGCCATGTTTTGTTTTCAAAGGTGACACTAGTTTCCGCCACTCTCTCAGACCTTGGGTTGGGGGTTAGGCCACACTTCCATCTGAGCGACTTTGTGTCTCCTTTCTTCATCTGATCCTTTAATTAAATATTCGATGCACCCACTTGTTTTGATGTCAAGATTGCACGTTTCACCACCATCCTCAGGGTGCATTCAAATAATTTTTAAGTCCATAAATCACCAGAGTATTTTTTTAAACATGAAACAAACATTACATCATACCTGCTGTTTAGAACCATGGTGGCGGTGAGGGGATGGGGTGGGGGACCAGCCTAACCTGTGGCATCATTGCCTGCATCCTGTCAGTTACAGGGGTTGGAGTTCTTACACACCGGCCAACTCTTCACTCCAGCCCGACTCTGCCCTTGGAATCATTAACAGAGTGTGTCAGCTGCTTTCAGCAGCCCTGAGTTGAGGATACCAACTTGTCAGATGATATCATGAAAGCTCTAGTCATCTAGAACTTTATAAACTAGAATAGAGAGACTTGAATTGCATATCTAAAAGGTAAAAGGAAATATCCAGCTTTGATGGTTAACTACAGAACTCAGCTAACACTTCAGCTCCACTATTTTTTATTTTTTCCTTTTTTTTTCTTTTTTTTTTGAGATGGAGTCTCACTCTGTCTCCCAGGCTGGAGTGCAGTGGCACCATCTCGCTCACTGCAACCACCCCCTCCAGGGTTCAAGGGATTCTCCTGTCTCAGCCTCCCAAGTAGCTGGGACTACAGGCGCTCACCACCATTTCCGACTAATTTTTGTGTTTTTAGTAGAGACAGGGTTTCACCATATTTGCCAGGCTGGTCTCGCACTCCTGACCTCATGATCCACCTGCCTTGGCCTCCCAAAGTGCTGGGCTTATAGGTGTGAGCCACCATGCCCAGCCTTTTTTTTTAAAGACAAGGTCTTAGTATGTTGCCCAGGCTGGTATCAAACTCTTGGCGTCAAGCAGTCCTCCTACCTCAGCCACCCAAAGTGCTGGGACTGCAGACCTGAGAGATCCACCATGCTTAACTGGAGCTTTGGACAAGTTACTTAATCTTTCTGTGCCTCAAATTTTTCATCCATATAATGGGAATGAAACAAGTACCTGACCTATCAGGGTTAAATGAGTTACTAAATATACAGTGCTTACTGTAGTACCAAGCATGTGTAAGTGCTCAAGAAATGTACAATGTTTTTTAATCATTGGTTTTCAGCAGAGTGGTTTGCGAACTGCCTGCCAACCCTTACGTTTGTCATTGTGTAATCACTACCCTCCCCTGGACCTCAGCATCTCATACAACAAACCAAAATAAAATAGTTCTCCATAATAGAAAGCTCACACCTGTAACTCCAGCACTTTGGGAGGCTGAGACAGGTGGATCACAGGGTCAGGAGATTGAGACCATCCTGGCTTACACAGTGAAACCCCATCTCTACTAAAAATACAAAAAATTAGCCTGGCATGGTGGCACGCACCTGTAGTCCCAGCTACTCAGGAGGCTGAGGCAGGAGAATCACTTGAACCTGGGAGGCGGAGGTTGCAATGAGCGGAGATCACGCCACTGCACTCCAGCCTGGGTGACAGAGCGAGACTCTGTCTCAAAAAAAAAAAAAAAAAAAAGAAAGTTGCAGAGTTGCAGTCTTGCTTCCTGTCATTCCCAGCTCAAGACCCCAGAGTGGCTGCCTGCTGCCTACCATTTTAAGGCAAAACTGTCATTCTGGATTTTTGAAAATGAAATTTGTATCTTTCATAATAAGGGTAAAAACAGTAAAAGTTTTGTTTTTAAAATATATGCTGTGCGTGGTGGCTCATGCCTGTGATTCCAGCACTTTGGGAGGCTGAGGTGGGCAGACTGCTTGAGCCCAGGAGTTCAAGATCAGCCTGAGCTCTACAAAAAATACAGAAAATTAGCTGGGGCCAGGCGTGGTGGCTCACCTAGGCAGGTGGATCACCTGAGGTCAGGGGTTCAAGACCAGTCTGGCCAACATGGTGAAACCCCATCTCTACCAAAAATAGAAAAATAAGCCAAGTGTGGTGGCGCATGCTTGTAGTCCCATCTACTCAGGAGCATGAGGCAGGAGAATCA